CCAGCAGACTGACCAGTCCTGGGATGGAAGGCGGACCCCACGTGGAAGGATGGGCGGGACTTTCCTTATCATTTAAGGAATACAAATGTGGCCAGATCCAGCTTGTTTTCTTATGCCTTAGCTGGAATCATTCCCATCCCTCTAACATAATTCATAATTAAATTAATCAGCCATTCAACAACCAAGCACCATATTTAGACCCTGGGATGACACAGATAAAGGTAAAGCGGACTTGCCCTCAAGGAGCTTCCATTTCACCAGGGAACCTACAGGTGCACAGATCCTCCTAAAACTGACTTTCCCTTTTTTTTAGAACTCAGGTCTGTTATGCAGCATAGTGCGGGGGAGGGGGTGGGCCTTGGAGAAGTTCCATGGGTCATCAGCAGGCCCCCAGGCGCCCACAGAACTCCTGGTCTGAACCAGATTCTAATGGAATCAGGAAATGTTTAACAAAATAAAGTGACACAAATAAATAATATAAAATACAACCTAGATGATGTTAATTTGTGGTGTTCTAAGCCATCATGCAGCTGGCAGACCTTGTACTTGAGTCTGACTTCAGTGGTCTAGGCAGCTTTGCAGAGAAGATGATGACCTGTATCAGTAGACAGAGTTTCCCCACCTGAGAGTTCTCCATGCCCACGAGATCTCAGGTCCAGGACCCACCCTCTGGCTGCTATCCAGTTTCATCAGGGGTTGTCATAGACCCCATTCTGTGGTCCTTCTTTGACCTCCATCCTGCCCCTCTGGCCTGCTGCCTGCCGGGCCTCTCCTGTGATCCTGGGGCCTGACCTGTCCCCAGACCCCAGACCCGGCACCCCAGTGCTGGGGGTTTCCATTGTTCTTCCTCCTTGGGCAGCCTTGGCCTTGACCCTGGAGCCTAGGGTTCTGTGTATCCCAACCTTGACCTCTTTCTCTTGCACTCCCAGAACTTTCCATGAGATGAAGCTCTGAACTCGGTTCCACTTGGACCTCAGCAAAACCCATGCCAGGATTCTCAGGCATTTATTGGATAGCCCTTTCCCTTTCTAGACGGGGAAGGCACTGCCCAGTCCTGCAGACCTCAGAACAGGAGCCGTCCACACGCTTCCACACACGAGGCAGCTTCAGGGTTCTGTGAGCCCTGACTCCTCAGGTGAAGGCCCCGGCTCTGACTCTGACTTCCTGTGCCAGGTGGGCTGGCATGGCAGGGACCCCGGGCTGGCATCAAAAGACCTGTGAGTTTTGTTTAGGTTTTGTCCAAAGGATATTTGAGGCTTCTGGCTTTATTTTTATTTGGAACTTGTAACAAAATCTGACAGTTTGTTTGTAACAGGAACAAAATAAAAATAATAAAACCAGCCAGATGGGCCCTCAGGCCCTTCTCTTGCCTAGCCTAGTTGCACGCTTGCCTTCTAGACTTTTCTTATATAGCCTGCCTTTCAATGAAGTCGGACTTCTGGGGCTCCCCAGGCCCAGCACTCATCTCTGGCTCTCTGCCTTTGTGGGTGCCGGTCCTCATGCGTGGAAGCCTGCCCTCCTTATCTCCAGCCTCAAATCCTTATCTTGCTTCAGCTCTTAGCTCAGACGCCTTGGTCTCTGAAGCCGTCCTAGGCCTCTGGCCCTGTCAGCCCCTCCTGGGGCTTGAGCTCACTTCACCAGGCCACTGTCTTACTCTATGTTTGTGTGTTGTAGATAAAGGGATGACTTCTTTTTTCTCTTTCTATCCCCCGTGTGCCAGGCCAGTGCCTGGTACATTGTAGGTGCTTAACATATGTGTGTTGAATGAAATTGAACTGAAATGAATTGAGCCCCCCTGAGTATTGAGGATTTTAAATGAAAAATTTCAGAAATCACTCTTTTTTGGTTTTTATGTCACCCTGCCCAGTATGTACTCCCCTGCCTCTGTCCCTGAGGAGATTTCTGTAATGACAAGAAAGAAAAATGGAGGTGAGAAAAGCTGTTATACAAAAATAATGTGCAATCATGTACACAATGTACAGAGTAATGTGCAATATTAATGTTCTTGGGAGAATTTGATTAGGGATCTAGATCAGAATGCATTTATTAAGTTCCTTTGGTCTTTTGAGCTCAAAGAGAATTTATTAAGTGCCTCTTGTTTACATGTAGCTGCACTTTGGGCAGGGGAAATATGAAAATTAGTTAAAACAGGGGTCCTGCCCCCCTCCCTGATCTTTACCATCCCTTAGGGTGGAGAGAGACCCGTAATACTAAATGACACATAGTTTGAGTGTAAGATAATCACAGATAGGATGCCATGTCAAGTCCATAAGCATTGATGGAGCACCTACCATGTGCCTGACACTGTTAGGTGCTGAGGATTCAAAGAAAGACAAGACCCAGTTCCTGCTCTCAAGGTGCTCACAGTCTAATGGGGAGAGAACATGGGAACAATCATGGGAGGTCTAAGGGCGGGGACAATGGAGAGAGATTCGGCTGCTGGGAAAGGTTTTGCGGAATGAGTTGGGCTGTAACAGGTGGGTAGAAGTCAACAGGCTGGGGGTGGGGAGAGGGGGCATCAGAGAGCGACCTGAACAGAAACATTGAGGAAGGAGTGGCGCGTGGTGGTGGGTTTGGCTCCCTCGTGGAAGAGGGGAAGTCGGCGGGAGATGAAACCGGCAGGGCAGAGGACATGACGTCGTGGACACTGGGCTGAGGAGTGAGGGCTTCACTTGGAGGAGCAAGGGCTGCTTGAGGGTTTGAACCAAGAGTGAAGCGGCCACGTCTGTCAGCTCAGTCAAGCTTTGGAATCCACGAGCCTGGGCTGAAATCCCAACTTCGTCACCATCCTCCTCTGCCTGTGAGACTGTGGGCACTTACTTCGACTCCTCTGGCTTTAGTTTCTGTAATGATAGTGATCTCCAGATCCACAATCCTCCATCTATAAAGAGGAGAAGTCTGGTGGTGCTGGGAAGAATGGGGTGTGGGGGGAGGGAGCTGAGGCAAAAGAAGCCAGGAGGAGCCCCGGGGCCTATTCTGTGCAGGGAGGAGCAGATTTGTGCAGAGTAGAATCTGGTGGGCTGATGATGCCCACATCTCAGGTGAGGGAAAGGGAGAGTCAGGCCCGACTCTGGGACCCAAGGCCGTGGGCACTGGGGGGAGGGCGGTGCCACTGGGACACCAACCGTGAAGCCAGGACAGGGAGGTGAGGAGGTCTAGGGGAAGGAGATGAGAGCCTTGCTATTTCATACTGAGCCTGAGGTCTCAGGGGACCTCTAGCCAGCATGGCTGTCCTCTTTGCGTCCAACAAAGCTCCCTACTCTTCCCAACCGCCCCTTCGAGGGCGTTTGCACGTCATTGCTCAGCACGTCAGGTCCGGAGGTGGCTGAGACGTGGTTCTGCCCCCCCCGTAGCTGCTGAGGTCCCAAGGGTCCTAAGGATGATCCGTCCGTTATTGAGGATGCTAAGAGCTACCGTTCATCCATCACTCCGAGGCTTGCAAAGGGCTTGACTTAATTTCATTTGAACTTCACAACAACTCTGTAAGGGAAGATGCTGCTCTACCTGTTTTACAGATGAAAAGAACAGATTTAGAAAAGGGAAGTGACTTGCCCGGAATCACATAGTTAATAAATGGTAGCGGCAGCATTTGAATCCGCATCTTCGTCACTCCCTGCTTCATGCCGGGAGGGCTCCCTGCTGTGTGTGGATGAAGCTATGGATGTGCACTTTTTCCTCCAGAAACAAAGTCACATCCCACTGAAATGCTGCCTCTGGGCCTCCCCATTCATACTTCCGATGCTGCCTTCCAGCTGAATGGCTGGCGCAGTTGGTGAATTTCCACGGATATCTGCTTAAGTGATACTTAGATGCCACGTTCCTCCCTACGGAATGGGCCAAGAAGCGGCAAACTCTGAATTCTAAACTCATATCTTCCAGCAGTGGGGTAGCTATGGCAACGTGGTCCAGCGTATTAATGATGGGCTCGAGACGAGAAGGCCTGGGTTCAACCCACCTCTAAGTCTGCTCCAAGCCTTGGCTTCTTCACCTAGAAAAAGCAGAGAGGAAAGCGCTTTGGGATCCTTGTGAGAGCTATGACTGTTTAATGTGAGCTATTGTTAATATTCACAACGTCAAATAGGTAATACAAAAGTTATTATTCATGTTCAAATCTTTCCCACGGTGCATAGGACTTTAATATAGTAGGGACCTAATAATCATGAAATACAGCCTCCGACTGTGATAAGCCCTGGAGAGAAGGTTGTCCGTTATCAAACCACAGTCGATATTCCTAGGTCTCTGTGATACTCAGCATGGGGAACTTTTGTGTGGGCTCTCCCACCCTCAGTAGAGCTTCCAATCTTCTGTGACTGAATAACCAGCGTCTATTAATGCTTGCCATTTACCAGGCCCTGCAATGAGTGTGGGGTACAGGGACAGGAAAGTGGGGCAGTCGGTTGCTCTTCCCCTCTGGGTGGTTACATCTTTGTACGGGAGGGAGCGAGGCTTGGAAGCTTGACAGCCCCGGGTCACATGACTGCCAAAGGCAAAGGAGGGCATTTCCACTCAGGTCTTCCCGAATACACGTGCAGCCCTATGTCCACAAGAATGTCCGTGGATGTATCGTGATGTTGATGACCGGAGAAGCAGCTTTTGGGTGAAATGAGCCTCTTGGGAGGTCCCGAGGCTGGTCCAGGGCGCTTGAGCTGTGGTTTAGGAAAGAAAGGGATGGGCCAGAGCAATGGAGCCTCAGGAACCTTTTCAGAGTAGGGGTGCGGGCCAGAGGGGACCCAACGGCAGGCAGGCCCTCAGGATTCCCACATCAGAGACCCAGAAAGGACCGTTGGGGCCAGGTGATCAAAGCAGCTCTGGAGAGAAGCTCAGAGCCGGCGGAAGGGTCTGTGAGGGCCTCCTGGGAGCGGCCAGCGGCCAAAAATCAACATTGGGCCCCGAGGACGGAAGGGGAGCAGGGGGCCGAGCCAGGCAGCAGCGAGTGTCAAAACTCGGGAACTAACATTTTAAGCCCAAAGACTTACTTTCTTTTCTCCTTTATCTTACAGGCAGAAGCCTTCTCTTCTTCTTGGTGAGTACCCCGTTAAATTGAAATTTTATGTATTTGAGTCAGAATGTGGAGCCTGCACAGATAAGAAGGCACAGGGCACGAAGGAGAGAATGACCTTGTGGGGGAAGGTCACAGGTGAAGCGGAGCTGGTTTTCTGAGGCTACCGTGGGGCTTCCTGTTCCTGTCAAGAGCTGCATGCTTGGGGATGTGAGTTACGCAGATGTGTTTATCTTTGGACAAAGGTTGACCAGGGCCTTGTTCTGGAGGCCGGCAGGGGTTGGGAAGCTGCTAGGGAGCCCCATGTCAGAGCTCTGCTGGGGTGTGCCTGGCAGGTGCGTGCATGTGTGCTTGCGTGCGTGCGCGTGTGTGTGTGTGTGTGTGTGTGTGTGTGTGTGTGTGTGTGTGTATGTGTGTGTGGTGGGGGGATACTGCTGGAAAAGAGACACTGGACTTTTGTGTTGGGGGCTCTGAAATCGCATGCGTTTTGTTTTCAGGCAGTGATTAAGGGCCATGGCCTACGTGAACAGTTCTTAGGGAGGAAGAGATTTTTGGAAGATATAGCCACTTCTTTCCGTCTTCGGTTAAACCAAAATAGTCAGGTCAAGCGGTCCTGAAAACTCCTTTTTTATTGGCCACACAACTGGAGGGGAGATCAAACAACAAACATTTCCATCTGTCTCTTTCCATGGTCAGGAGTTCTTAACCTGGAGTCCACCGGGAATCAGTGGATGCGTTTCAGGTCTATGAACTTGGATGGAGAAAACAAATTCATCTTTAGTTTTACTGACCCCAAACTAAAATTGAGGATTTCATTCAATTATGAATTAAAAACTAACCCCCCAGCATCATTCCAAAAAGAATTCCATATCAGACTGCCAGAGGGGGGTCCAGGCACAAAAAAGGCAAAGGACCTGTGTGACAGATCTCCACGCACAGCATCATGGTTGTGAACTGAACTCAATTTGAGCTGTCCCAAGGAATCGAATCGGGAGAATCCAGCTGAAAGACTCAGCTACAACCAAAGTCGCCCCATTTCTGATTTCCTTTCTGATAAGGGGGACAGTTGTCTGTCTGCAGCTGCCCCACCCGACCTCTCCCACAGCTTGCCTTGGGCCAGCTTTGACTTCCTCTCATTCATCTGTCTGGTCTTATCTGTGCTTTCCCGAGGCTTTCTGACCTCCACTTCTGTATTTCATCTGGGCTTAAACGTTAGTGACTAATACTTAAAAGCTGGAGGCCATGACCCCTGCTCTCTCTCCCTGCTTGGCTCTGAATGCTAGATGTATGTTCATGTGCTGGACAGAATCCCTGGGATGGAGAAAACAGGAACCGGCCCTGATGTCACAATGTCTGCTTTGTAGAAAGGCAATTAGGCACACTTGGATTTCCAGTCTTCTTACACCTTATTCCCCAGCCCACGCTGTGGCCTATTGCCCTAGCCTGCTGGGGGGTCTGCCTGCCCCAGGTCTCTCCCCTTTCCCATCCAGCCACCAAAGCAGTTTTCCTGCACCACAGGCTGCACCATCCCCTCACCCTCTTCTCAGTAAAGCCCAGTGGCTCCCTATCCCCACCAGGATCAAATACAAAATGCTCCATTTGGGGGCAGCTAGGTGGCACAGTGGATAGAGCACTGGCCCTGAAGTCAGGAGGACCTGAGTTCAAATCCAACCTCAGACCAAACACTTGACACTTACTGTGTGACCCTGAGCAAGTCACTTAACTCCAATTGCCTAAAAATAAAATTAAAAAAATGCTCCATTTGGCCTTCCAAGCCCTTCACGACCTGGCCGCCTCCTCCCTTTGCAGGCTTCTTACTCCCTGAAGCGTCCTCTTCCATCCAGTGACATTGACTTCGGGCCTGTTCCATGAACAAGACCCTGGCTCTCAGCTCCAGACACGTTTTCTGGCCACCCCCCAGCCTGGAGTGCTCAAGTCCTTCCTGGGCTCTGAGCAGCCTTTCCTACTTGGAAAGACCTGATTTCTTGATTTGTACACATTCTTCCTGAAGTGATCTTGGTCTTCTGCATGTGAAAAGAGTAGGAGTTTTATGGAGGTCATTCATTTATTTGACACTCATTTACCAAGTTCCTGCTGTGTGCCAAGCACTGTACTAGGTGACAGGGATGCATGACAAAACCAGGGCAGGGCCTATCTTTTGCCTCTTTTTGTATCCTCAGCACTTAGCACAGTGCCTGGCACACAGTAGGTGCTTAATAAATGTTTATTGATGATTGTGTCCCGGCCCTCAAAGAGCTTACTTATTGGAGGGAAGTGACATACTGTAATGCCTAGTGTTAATAGTACAAAATGACCAGCTTTTAAATATTAATATATTAATTATTTATGTGATTATATTGTTAATATATTATACTAATAATAGCCATTATTTATAGAGTGCTCCAAGGTTCAAAAAACACTTTAAATTCATAATTGCACTTGATCCTCACAGTAAACCATGTGATCGGGGTGATTCTTATTCCTTCAAGACTCAGTTCACACTGTGTCTTCTGCAGGAGGCCTTTCCTGGGCCCACTAGCTGCGGGTGCCTTCCCCTCTGAGACTTCTTCCCACCTGTTACATCTCCGCCTCAAACACACCCATTTGTATACATGCCATCCCCTCCATTAGGCAGGAAGATTCTTGAGGGCGGGAACAGGGATCTTGCTTATCTTTGTGTGTCTTCAGTACTTAGTCCGTTACCTGGCACACGCTAAGTCCTTAATACGTACGTGGCGATTGACTGATTGTTATCCATGATTTAGAGCAAACCGTTCGGGCAACTCCCCAGAGTCATGGAGTGAGATTCACAGTGCTCAGAGGTGATGTGCACACCTGGGTCCTCCTGATTCCAAGCCCAGCTCCTGTTCCATCCCACTCCAGTAATCAGAATTCTTCGTCTGCTGGAATTTTGCCCCGGACTGACAGCTGTTATGCTGTAGACAAGCCAGTTTCCTTTGGCAAGAAGTAGTCAGTGATCTGTTGTTACAAAAGGAAAGTGTTTATCAAGAAAAGTCTGTTTACTGCTCAGCTGGTGCACATCCCATAGTTGGTCCCCAACACCTCTTGGAGGCTCTTGGAGGTTGTGTGTGGTTAGGGGGGGATGTCCCTTTCAAGGGCAGAAGGGAGAATTGGTAGTGACCTAAATGGTGGAGGCACATGGAACACAGGCTCTAAATCCTGCCTGGGAGACCTTGGGATAAGAGGCCGTCAAATCTAGCTGCCTCCCTGTCCCTGATTTGGCACCTCTAGTGAGAGGGTTGGTTGAAATGATACCCAAGACCCAGGAAAGGGTCTGATCCCATATTTTAAGACCAAGGCCTTTTGAGGTTATGTAATTAACTAGAAAGATGTTGTAGGCCAGCTCGGTGGTGCAGTGGATAGAGAGCTGAGCCTGGAGTCAGGAAGACTCCTCTTCCCGAGTTCAAATCCAGCCTCAGACACTTACTAGCTGTGTGACACTGGGCTAGTCACTTAATCCTGTTTGCCTCAGTTTTCTCATCTGCAAAATGAGCTGGAGAAGGAAATGGCACACCTCTGCAGTATCTTTGCCACAAAAACCCCAAAACAGGGCCATGAAGAGTCCAACACAGCTGAATAACAACAGCTCGTGCAAATTTTGGTTAATAAAGTACTATAGCCTACACCTGAAGTCTTGAAAAAAAGAAATGACTCGTCATGTTCGTTTTCCTTTCCTTCTTCTGATATTGAGAGACAAACGCCCCAAGTGGTGATGCAGCCTTCACGTGAAGACTTGGTGGGGCAGAGCAGGATCCGCCACCTTCCAAGGTAGCCCATTTTGCCTGGATGGCGATTGGATTATTAGAAAGTGAATCAGCCACCAAATCATCCTACTCTTGGCTTCTAGTTCTTGTTCTGGGGGGTGGGGTGGGGGGGGAGAAAAAGTTGAGTCCTTCTTGCCCGGGTGGAGATAATGACCAAGCCCCAGGTCGGTCTTGTGTCTTCCACTCTTTGCCTCTTCCTGGTCCGTCTTTGCATACCTGTGTCAGTGGGCCTCAATTCGATTAAACACGTGTTTATTGAAAGGTAGCAGCAGCAGGACTTTCTCTGAAAACTTGATAGGAGCAGTCAAAGAATCATAAACAACCCTGTTTGGCAAAAGATAACAAAAAAATGCAAAGAGAGGAGTGTGTGTGTGTGTGTGTGTGTGCGTGTGAGAGAGAGAGAGAGACAGACAGACACAGACACACACACACAGAAAAAGAGAGAGAGATAGAGACACACACAGAGAGACAGACACAGAAAAAGAGAGAGACAGAGACAGAGAGATAGACACACGGAGACAGAGACAGAGATAGAGAGAGACATAGAGAAAGCAGCGAGGGAGATCAAGCCAGCACAGGCACACACCTGTCTTAACTGCTCTAGCCGAGCCTACAGACAGCTCCATGGAGGGAATTCTCCTTCTCCTTGCCCCCATCCTTAGTTCCAGTTTAATCTCTTCATTTGAGCGCACAGGAACAATGGACTGGTAGCATCTTTTGACTCTTCCATTTAGAAGGAATCATGGGGCTCGGGGCATTATGTCTTCAGGTCATTGTGGGGTGTCTCCATTTTTCTCCTATCCCTCTCCCTCCCCCCCTTTAAGGCTGCCCTCGCCTGGCCCATCCATGAGCAGGATTTGCTCTTCCCCACCATACAAAGGCAGTTTTCCTTCCAAATTGAAAGAAGAGGATCCTGGGGGATTGGAAGAGCTGGCCAGGGGCAGAAGGTGACTTGGGAGTGTCTCCCATGTTGTTTCCAGTTCTGCTTTCAGGAAACAAGTATCTGTCCCGTTTGAGGAACACGGGGCTCCTTGAGGAGCTGTGCTGGTGATCACACTGGCTATCACGAGTCTAGTAGAAGTTATAATTTCCACTTAGGGGAAGTCAGAACCCAGACTCCTTTATAAACTCAAGTCTGAGCCTCATACCAAGATCCAGCCCAGAGTCTGCCTCCATCAGAAGAAAATTTGTGTTCTGGCTGATCAGAGGGCAAAAATGAATTCACTGCTGCCAAGATGG